GAGTAGTCAAACTCAGGGAGAAGTCATGTAGTCACCACTGAAGGAGACAGACTCCAGGGAAGTTTACCNGAGCTGAGAGAGAGAGAGAGAGAGAGAGAGAGAGAGAGAGAGAGAGAGAGAAGGCAGAGTCAAGGAGACTGCATGTAGCCCGGCCTGAGACAGATGCGGGAGACACGCTGGGGACCAATGGAACTTTACCTGGTAAGCCAAAGCAAAGTGACGATACACAGACTGATAGAAATGGGTTATCCAAAGATATAAGAGCTAGCTAGCAATATGCTTAAGCTATTGGCTAAACAATATTTTGCAAGTAATATAGTTTCTGAGTGATTATTTCATGGTCTGAGCAGCCGGGAATTAATGAACAGCCCTTCCCCAACATGGGTTTTCCTCTTTTCTTCAAGGGGTGGGTCCTCTACACTAGCCCTATCAGACTGATGGACCCTCTTTCTGACCCCATTCAACTTTAAACTTCCTTAAAAGCTCAACTCAGTATAGACACACAGACACTGAGTTTTGACATATGAATTTTGGAAATATATGGTTGAATTCTTATTAAGGATCACTTGCTGCCATTAGGAGGCAAGAGCGGTAGATACCAGGCTCTGGTATCAGGACATGTTTTCAGAGCATGTAGACAAAACCATGGGGACAAGAGAATCAAAAGCAAGGTTTTGGAATGGTGAGTTGTGTTTAAGCTTAGCCAGAGCATGAGATTCACAGAGAGATGAGGAAAGCAAGTTGAGAAGAGAGATGAGGGCAAAGCTCATGGCTAAAGAAACAGCATGAGGCTCACCTGACTTGAGAGCAGTTAAGAGACGCTGAAAATTTTTGGTCTAGAGAATGACATGGGCAAAATATGCCCTACAGAATCTGCCCATCCTTCTGAAGTATGTGTTAGAGTAGGAGGCATCAAGACAAGAGGCAGGGAGGCCAGTGAGGAGGCCACTGAGTCATCAAAGATGGCTTCCTCCAAAGGCAGTTGCTTTGCTTCCGAACTGTGTTGACTTCAGGTCCAGGTGGTGTGAGTTTAAACATGACGTGTATCCCCAAATAACTTGAGGAAAATGACCATTTCTCTGGGCTTTTGATTCTTCTAGAGCAATATGGGCTGGTGAAAGTGTTATGACTGAGTATTAAATGAGCCCAAATACCTAAGGTATTTAGGAAATCACTGGCATGCAGTGATGTGGAGATGTTTGCTTATATAGTGAGGGTGGAGAATCAAAAAGGGAAAACTTGAAATCTGCATGCTCTTTTTGTCTCAACTAACATTAAAATAAAAGTTTTTACCAATGAATCCTGCGGTTTCCACTATATATCTCGGACACTCCCCCTTTTGTTAGCAATTAGTTTTCCACACAGTCTGTCCTGCTTTGACACTTTTTGACCCTGCTGAGAGAAACCAGAATAGCCCTCCAGTATTCAAAAATACCTATAGGCAATCAATAAAATCTTTTTGACTAGGTTGTGCAGCTGTTCAACACATTTACATCTGTACCAAATAAGATATTTAACTAGAAAGCTGAAACTATACTAAAAATCTTATTTTTGTACATTCACTTGAACAACTAGACTGTAATGAACCAAAACACTATAAAATCTGTGTATGAATATAAACACATGCGAGGTGCATGCAAGAAGAAGCCATTAGAGGTGTTATTATTGTGATTGAAAATATTGTCAAGTTGAAGTTCTTCTTCATGAGGCTTTCAACTTAGCGACTCACAATTCTATATAATCATGGCAATAATCCATGCTTTCCGTGGATGGTATTTGGACTCAGTTTGAGTGAGTCTGTGTTTGGATGAATTATGTAAAATCCCCAAATCGTGTGTTTTGTAAACATGAAAAAGAAAGTGATTCCAATGGATGGGAAAAGTTGTTCCAAATTGGGAAAATGGAAAATCAGGGCCAGATGGATGTGTGTTGGAAAGCTTAAAGTGCTCGCATTGTCAACAGTGAGCTTGCATCCTCTCTCCTGTCTTAAAGTGAAGGAACACCTTTTTTTTTTTTCTGGATCCTGGGCACTGAAGAAAGGGCCATTTAGTTGTTGATTATTCATCATTTTATTAACTATTTATAAATAAGAACCTGGTGTGTGCCAATTCTGTGGTACTTTGGGAGCTTCACATACTCGTAAGCTAGATAGAGCTACAGCTAAGAGGTTTAATAATGAAATCCGACCCATGGCTTTATCAAAGGGGATACTGAGGTTGAGTGTCAGGAAGTCGTAGCACCAGAACCAGGCTTCAATATTCCCCTGCTCAAACTACAGAGGTGGAAAGAACCACAGGACAGCTGGTTAAGTCCACAGAAACATGGCTTCACTCTTTCCAGGGTGGCCAGAGGAAAAGAAGATTATGGTTGCTGTGTTGGGATCTTCCTAATTAGAACTCACAGCTAAGGAAGCGAGTCCAACTTTTCACTCCTTCTAGCAACTTCCAGCTATTGTGATCATAGCCACCTTCCCCTGAAAGCCTCATTCATGGTTTACTTTACTCATAAATATGGTGTGCTAATATTTCTCTCACAGTAACACTGATGTCATGTCCTGGGGTATGGTGAGGAGCATATTACCTGAAGCATGACCAGCCCAGCAAATGGTAGCATGATCATTAGTGTCTGTAGGCAGCAGAACGCTCAATGAATGGCAGCAACCTATTATGCCTACAATAGCCATGGCACAACACTGTGCCCACCCTCAAGGAATCCCCAGTCCAGCAGGCAAGGCTAGAAATACATAAACACCTTTTTCCCACAGAAGATTATGCTAAACTAAATGAATGCGCCAAGTGTCTGGAAACAGAGGAGCCAGGGAACAGACTTAACTTTCTCCCTGTTCCTAGTCATGGTCTATTTCTTCCTGGAGGTGGAACTGAGTAAACGTTTTCTCCTGGAGTTGGTACGCTGGATGGGAGGATTTATTTTAGGTGCAGTGCACAGTTTGGGAGGAGGTATAATGCACACTGAGCTTTATTTGTTCATTCTACAGTGATGAATATGATGATTTCTACTCCCCGTAATAAGAGAGCTAAGGAAACAATATCCCCTCTTTGGGAAATTTAAATTGGTTCAAAGGGGGTCAGCAAAACAAACCACCACCAACAAAACAGTGGGTGAGATGTGACTTCCACAGCTAAACACAGGCGCCTCAAAATGGATTGCAGATTGAGGTGCCGGGTTTCACGCTGCCACCGACGCTGCTCATAAACAGAGCACGGAATGAACACTATTGAATGTCGATGGCAGAAAGCTGCCGATGGGAGCTGACATCAATAGACACGAGCAAGGCTCTGGCATAATTAATGTCGACCTGTCACCCTGTTGGTGCTTGTTGTAGACAGACAAAAGCAATTCAGTCACTTTTCCTGACAGGCACACACAATCTTAATTAATGGGTTAATGACTTTTTATTTGTTTGTTTTGGTTAATGATTTTTAGGAAGAGAGACAAAAAGGTAATGTAGAGTTGTGAATATGGGTTGGAAGTTCCATTCTAAATTTGAGAAAGGTTTTTTTTTTTTGGTACTAGGTTCCTGGTACCCTTCTCCTTCTTTCCTCCCTTCTTCTTCTCCTCCTCCTCCTCCTCCTCCTCCTCCTCCTCCTCCTTCTTCTTCTTCTTCTTCTTCTTCTTCTTCTTCTTCTTCTTCTTCACTTTTTCTGTTGCTCCTGATGTGCTCTGTGAACCAAGAAGAGAAGTCAGGACCGAGTCTTGTTCTCTAAAGGAGGGAAACTATGTCATCATTTATTTCTGCTTCCCACCATTAAGTGAGAAAATTAGGAGAGAGAATTTTTCAGGCTTCTGAATGGGCCTTTCAAATTTAGCAAAAGACAACTAAACCCAAAATTTAACTAACCTGAAGACACAAAACACTCTGTTAAACAGACATTTCCGTTCAGCTGGGGTGATGGCTCACAACTAGGTTCACTTAGTCAGAGTCAATGGGTGGTCAGTTTTCCAGATTAGGTTGGCCTGAGACCAAGCATAGGGAGACATACCTAGGCTGTAACAGCTGAAGACCCATCCCCAGTAGGCATCACAAGTCTATAGTCAGGGGATCTCTAATTGTGTAAAGTGGACAACTCTAAGCATGAGCACACATGTAAGAATTTATTGCCCTCTATTACTGACTATGGATGACATGCGACCAATTCCCTAATGTTTTTGCCATGTAGACTTTGATGTTATGGAAGTAACTTAGAATTGCAAGCTAGTATACCCCTCTGTCCCTTAAATTTCTTTTGTCAAGGTGTTTTATAATAACAAGATATAAAACTGAGGTAGATATTGGTACCAAGAAGTGGGGCCACTGTGATAAACTTGAGATGAAATTGATCATGCCCCCCCATTTTTGAAAATGTTTTGAATTGCAGCATAACTGAACAATGTCATAAAATTCATCCACATGGTACTGAACTTGAAGGCGGGGAAGCAAGACTGAAGGTGTCAAGGAGAGAAGCTGAGATAAAGTATTATGCAGAGGGCTTTGAAACCATCAAAATGGCCCTGTGAGGTCATTGTCATAAGCTGTGCAGATGAAGCCTCAGCAGAGGCAGATGATTCTATGTGAGTTCCAGGACAGCCACAGCTGTTACAGAGAGAAACCCTGTCAAAAAAAAAATGAAGTCTCAGTTGCAATAGAGATCTCAAGATACGAGAGATGCTAGGACCATGAGACATCTCCCAAGGATATCTGTAGACCAGGGTAGAGCCAGCCTAAATCAAAGAAAAAAATTGTGTATACTGCATGAAGTAGAGTTAGACATGGGTTACTCAAGCACTTTGGGGAACAACCCATTTCATTATGAGTCCAGGTACCAGACATGCAGCTCCAGGATCTGGTGTTTTCAGTGCTAGATTTTGATTTTGTTTTAGTGTTATTTGTGTGTGTGTGTGTGTGTGTGTGTGTGCCATGATTCTTCTCGTTTGAGATACTAATATTTTTTGTCTCATTATAGGTTGGAAGTATCTGAGTTATTTTTTATTTTATTATATAGGAGCTCACAATGAAAAGATTTTGGACTCTTATAAAAATATCATGTGTATGGGTATGTTTCTGCACATCGGCATATGCGGCACATGCATGAAGAAGCCTATGGAGGCAAGGAGATGACATGACATCTGATACCCTGGAATTGGAGGCACAGTGAGCCACTATGTAAATGCTGGGATGAGCCTGGATCCTCTACAAGAGCAGTAAGCACTGTAAACTCTTGAACTCTCTCCCCAGTTCCATATGTTGGGTTTTTTTTTTAAGAAGATGGGGACTTTAAAGTTATACTGTGTTTTATATTTGAGGTAAACCTGAGACTTTGGGGAAGGGATGGATTATAATAGGTTAGAAGTGATGTGCTTATGTGTTTTGTTGACAAGGGGGAGTCTTCCTGCTTAGCTTTCACTGTGGTCATAACCTAGAATTGCTGGCAATGGCATCTGAACAAGGAGTTGTATATTGGGACGTGTCTATGGGAGATCATCTTGATTAAATTAATTGAGGTGGAAAGAGCTGCCCACTATAGGTGATGTCATTTTGTAGGAAGCAGATTATGAAATCTACAGAGATAGAGAAGGCAAACCAATCACAAGCATTGAATGCATTCCTTGCTCTCTGTGCCTGATCATGGATGTGATGCGATCTTATTTTTCACACTTCTGCTATTGGACTCCATGCTGTTGATAGACTACAGCCTAGAACTGTGAGATGAAATAAACTCTGTCCCCCTCAAATTTTCATTTTAACAGGATATTTTAATACAGTAACCAGAAACAAAGATGAGTGAAAATCCTGTGTGTTTTTTTTCTGGTGATTATCTTTGCGGTTTTATTCACATTCTCATCTCAGAAGTTTTGACTTGTATTTGGATTCAAGAATCAGAACATCACACCTTCCAGCCCAGTTAATCAAGATCAGGGAATAATTTTGTTTTCAGCTAAAGCCAAAGTCACTTTCTCATTCTTCCCAGCGTCTAATGAAGTTGGCTACAAGTAAAATTAGGTAGTCAATTCAAAGAAAAAAAAAAGAGAGGCCTAGGAAATTTTACTCAACTTCTACCTGTTCTCTCCAGGAGGGAGTAGACATTCCTTTTCAGAACCAAGACAGTCTCAGGTTACCAACAGTAATCTTGCTCTGGGACCAGGACAGGTCTCTCGTCATTGATGATCCTGTGCTAGGGGCAATGGTAGGCAGGCCTCAAAATCATTGGTGACTCCCTTTGTAAGGGAGGCATGCATTTAATATTTCTGTTGCTTATACACACTACACAGTGACATAAAGGAAAAAGAAGATTTAATTTATTATTTAATTGTGGTCCTTGGCTTTATAAATTAAATTATTTTATATAGTAGGTAGCACATATACAGTTTCCTAATTACTGAACATTGTATACATATTTTGTTCTTAACAAATCATTTATCCTATTCATCAACCTTGTGAACAGTCTTACATTATCATTGTTATTATTTTACTGGTGAGGAAATAAAGGCATAGACATATTTAATAATTTCTATAAGATCATGTAGCCTATAGGAGGCAAAGCAGCACCAAAAGACCAACTGTCCAGCAACAGTGTGAGTGTTTTGCCACAGTATTAGAGCATTTGGTTTTAGTGTTGAGCTCTATCAGCAATGCCTGGAAACAAATCCTCAATAAAGACTTGAAAGGAACTATCAAAACTGTCAGGTGAAAACTGGGCACAGTAACTCCTATGCACCTTGGAGGATGCATGCCATGTCTGCACATGATGTGTGTGTGTGACAGATGTCATATATCCTTTAAATATTGCAAATTTAAAACAAACTTAAGCAGATATGGACTTCTATATTGTGGGTTGGACATTGTGTCTTGTACCTTTTTCTCCACAGCCTTTGCCGTGTTGGCTGTACTATTCTTTATTGTGGGAATCACACAAATGCCAATGGAGGGCTTCATTGGGCTAACTTCTGATGAGTGAACCCTGTGTTCCAGGCACTGAGCTGGGTGTATGTGGAAGAGTCTCTGAATACAAGAAAAGAAATTCAACATAATACTTACTCATAGACCAAGGAGACCGAGAGGATATACAGCGTGTTAAAATGTTTTCCAAGCAAAGACTGTCTTTGAAAACACTCTTCAAAGAAATGTATTAATGAGGATAGCAGTAATAAGAGTAATAAAATGAGCAATGAAAAGAAAATAATGGCATATGGCGAACAGGAGAATGTTAGTGTGTTAGGAATAGCTATAAATGAGACTAGCTGAAGGAGCAGCACTTTAAACAAGGTGCAGTACGTTGAATCACGCTCCCCCCCCCCGAAAAAAAAAACCACATCCACTGCTAATCTCGGAAACTTAGAAATATGTGACCTTACATGACAAAAGCAGTTTGCTTATGTGATTAGATTTTGGGACAGGAAAATTGTCCTAGACTATCTTCTGAGCCGAATGTAGTCACACGGGTCTTTAGGAAGGAGGAGGAGCAGCCAGGGTTCAGAGAAGGAGCCCTAAAGCTGAAGTGAAGGCTGAAGTTATGGAATGAAGAATGCAGGGGACTTTATATGCCGTAAAGAGAGAAAGCTAGTCTCCTCTGGGAACTCGGGTATAAATGAAATTTGGTTTAAACCTTGAATTTAAGCCCCCCCTTCCCCTAGAACTGTGTAAAATTAATTTAGAGTTAGCTTAGGTCACTAATATTAAGCTGTTACAGAAACATGGAAAGCAAATAGTCATAGATTGATGTATTTCTCTCTTACATGTGGATGAAATAGTAGGTGGTCTGGGGCCACTCTGAGGGCTTGCTTGCTTTGCTGGTTGCCAAGAATCCTGACTGTTTGTATTTTGGCAATTTTCCCCTCGAAAGGTGTTGCTTTTATCTGTGGTCCATAATGTCTCATAAGCACACATGTTTCAAGCAGATGGATGAAAGAAGATGAAAATAAAAAGTTTGATCTCTTCTCTTTAGGAAATATTCCAGATATCACACATATCACGTCTCACATAGTTTTGAGCAGAATCTTATCACATGGCCATGCTGTGGGAAAGGTGAGCAACTGGAAAACCTCTTTTTTTTGTGTGTGGCATTCTGCCAAACTGAAAGCCAGGAGCTCTGTGATCAAAGAAGGACTGAGCCGGAAATGGAGACAGCTAAGCTAGTATCTTACCAACTTGTTACTCTTGAAAGAAAGGGAAGAGCATTTACACTTTATGCTCAGAATACTAACGATGCCGATGTGAGGGAGATACAAGGAATGATAAAAGTCACATGGAAAACACTTGTCTGGTTGACAAAAGGTGGGGGCATTTATTCACTTTTACAATGTCGGTGACTTAAATTTAGAGATGAATATTAATAATGTCAGAATTGCCATAGGATATCAAAGACAGAATAGATGATTTCCAAGTAGCTAGAGAATATTTGGCTCTTTTCTTCAAATGAAAGCTGTACTGGGAGAAAAGAAACAGGAGTTTTATGAACAGGAAATGTAAAACATGTTGGTAGAAGCGAGTTCTAACAAGACCTTGGGAAGAGCTCAGCAGTGGAGGGAATCACTGACTGACGTGTCTGGAATTCTGGGTCTCATCTAAACGCCACTGTAAAGAATTTCTAGCAAGCTAGTTATTACTACAAATATGAATAAAGTAAACAACAATAAAATGGAGACAGTATGAAAGACAGTAAGCCAGTAAAACATTTTCAAAGTTGACAAGATTAGAAACCATCATTAGGAACAACAAAGACCAGTATTATTAATATTCCCTATCTTCAAACTCATATGTAAACAACATACCAACTGTGTAGGAGAATCACAAATATTTTTTCCAATACACTAAAGCATCTTCAAAATATATGAAGCAGCAACCAGTTGAACTATGACAAAATAAGTTAATACCTAAAATCAAAGAGTCTTGAAAACTATTAGCTCAAATAGATACAAAACAGCACAGACATAAAAGGTTTAAATGAAAGCAATTAAAAGGGTATGTGAGGGCTTTAAATGCACCTTCACTAATCAAAGTGAAGGATTTTTCAATAGAAAAATTTATAAGCCATCGACAGTACAGCGCTATCTCGTACAATTTAGTGGAAAAATAAAAGCACCGAGAAGAAGCTAATGCCATAAAGAATAATAGCATTAAGTACAGGAGAAGAAACAGGTAGGTGGGAGCTGGAAAGGTGAATATGATGGACTGCCACTAAATGATGCTGGCAGCATCAGTCAAGAAACAAAAGCGAAAGAGCAAGCATATGATCAAGCAACAGAAGTCAGAAGAAGGCGTAACTATAGGTAGTGATTACAGGTGCAGTGTTTAAGGAGTAGATTAGAGAATGATTTCAGATAGGATGGGGACAGCAAATGCTATTAATAACATCCATAAGCTGAAAAGCCTAGATGGAATATATCAATATTTGTAAGAAGTCCTATATTTGTCAGGAAACAGACAAGAATTTAAGGTTTAAAAAGTGTAAGAAAAGTATAAAATAAATTGAAGTAGTTGTCAGGGATCTTCCTTCCTGCATTTACCATCACACTTCCCGAGCCGATCTTGAAAGTTGCTCTTAAAAATGATCCATTCTGATAGCCACTGTGCACTAATTGTGCAAGACAGTGAAATTCATATTGACATTTTCATACATGCATATGATATGTTTTGATCACGTTTGCCCAGTGACCCCTTTCTTTAACATGTTGTCTCAGGCAGTGAAAAAACTGAAAAGTCAACATACCTAAACGCTGTCTCATATTGATTTTTTTTGACTATAAGGAATATTCTCCCTGAAGAAAATGACAGGCTATTGTTACATTCAGATGTACATATGAAAATCTTAAGAAAGTCAGTGGTAGCAAACTACAATCATGTATGATTTCATCCTGTTACACAGAAGGCTTCCATATCAGACAAGCAATAATTTAACAATGTTAATTCACTAAGGAAATAAATCCTGTGCTTAAGTTAATAGAGGTGGGAAGTTTTTTGGGTAAAATTTAATTTACATTTATACAAATTTTCCAAAACTAGGCTTAGAAGAGAATCTCATTAACTAAAGGATATGGTTAAAAAAAACAAACAAACTTCCAAGCATCTTATTTTCCTAATTTAACTTTTAATTAATTCTTTGTGGAGGTCACATCATGCACCTTGACCCCACCCATCTCCCTGTCCCTTTGCATCTACCCTCTGCCCTTGAAACACCCCCTCACAGATAAAAACAAGATGAAATTTAAAAGATAAGATAAAAGAATAAAAGAAAGAAAGTCTCCTCGTGGAAGCTGTAGTGTGGTCTAGTGAGTCACACAGTATACACTTTAGTCCATATGTCTTTACTTGCAAGTGTTCATTGCAAAGAGCTGGGCCCCTGTTTTCTGCTACATTATTAACACTGGGCACTTGCTGGGCATCCTCGTGGATATCCTGCTGTTGCTATGTGTCATGGATATCCTGCAAATTTGGGTCTGCAGGACTGACTCTTCACATACTCTAGCGATCATAGGTGGGGTGGATGTTGGGGTGGGCCAACTCACGACCTGGTTTTGGTCCTGGATGGTTGTTGGGTTGGTCAGCCCTCCAGGTTTCTCTCGTTGTCATTACCTGGCAAGCTCTCCAGCACTGTCTCAACCAGCCCACCCAAGGCAGCCTGCAGCAAGGGGTGAGGCCAGCTCTCCTGCTTTCCTACCCTCAGGGC